TCCAATCCTCCTGCAATGAGCAGGGATCTTAACTAAATCTGTTTGCTCAGAGCTGCATCAACCATTATGTGAAAAACTTGAGGTTTTATGCTGAAACTATTGGTTCCAAAGTTTTCAAAGACTCACAGATAACTACCATCCAAGTAAGAGGATTTTCATTTTGTAGTCCTCCAGTATTCAATCTGCCTTCAGCTAAAAACATAAATAGGAGACTCATCTCTGTGTGCTCCCTGATCATTATAGTCGGAGTGTGAATTGGAAAATGAACCTTGTCTCAAATTATTCTTTGTCAGTTTTCTACAGAGTCATCCTAGGTAAACAGGTAAGTTGGTAGCAGAGAAAAGCACAAGAAAACAGAATATTTCTCCCCTTTACTATTCTTAATGCTATGTTTTCAGTTGGACTTATTTAATTTTATTATTCCTGTTGGTAAAACTGAATATCCAGCACTAAGGCATTTAGGAAACACAGCACTGTCTTCACTGCAGGCCATTAAATCTTTGTAAATCAGCCCTGGAAAATCAGCCTCTCCAATACATCATTATCTTTTTGCATGGTGAGTTGCTCTAATTGCAAACTGCCTCGATGAGATCCTACCCGCGCATTGTAAAATCGCCACAAAGCATAATTGGATGAGTCTTAACCATTCTTGGCAGTAGTGAATCTCTTCTACCCCAGTGGCTTGTGAAGGTATTAAAGGAAAAGACAGCTTCAATGTGTACAAAAGAAGGTATTGGCTACTTATTTTTACAGTGAGGAGAAATCCTTTTGTGAATGGGGAGGAGCAGGGTATCTCCAGCAGTTAAAAAAAATAAATAAATAAACAAATCCATTAACCCATTAATAATTCTAAAATGCCTTTTGTTTTGACAGCTTCACTGATTTACCTGCCAGTAACCAAACATCACACAAATTCTCTATAAAATTCCATTTTTTCCTTGAATTTAAACTCATTTTTAAATCTGTCTTCAGTTCCAGCCTAGCTAAAGTGAGACAGGGGCAATGTGCATACTCTTCTAAATTGGGCTCATGGCTACTTCTTAACTTCCTTCCAAATGTGTTCATGCAAGCAGAGGACAGGGATCACTTCACAATTACTGGTAAAGCTGCAGTACTTCACTGGGTTTAATTTTCAGACTAAATGTACACAGCCTGCTGCACAGGTTGTCAGCATATCTCAAGGATAACCTTGCATCTTTCCAAGGTAACCGCAGAGTTCATCTCCCAGGCAGGTTTGGTTCCCAAACTTGGCAGCTCACTGGAAAGCCATTAATGGACATTCTTGTCCTTGGACACTTGGCTCAAAGAGTTTGGTAAGGGCTGTCTGCATGGGAAGATCTGGGTCCAGAGTCAGTGTCTGACACTGCCTCCTGCCTGTTTGTGTATGTTCAGGGGTTTTCCAGAACAACAGTGCTCAGTAGCTTGTGGGATGGGCTGTTAGGAATGTTGATATATGGACATGGATTTTTTTTTTAAGTGTTTATTTGTTTTGCAAGTTTTTGTTTACTTGTTATTGCTGTGGAAAAAGAAAATACATATATAACATCTCCATATATGAAGATGTTCAGATCTTTAAAGTGTCATAAAATGCATAACAAAAAATCACTGACACCAAGAGCAAGCCAAAGAAGACACTTCTCTTTATATAAGACTGGTGTCATAAAATATTTAAATCCTTTCAGAGTGTGTGGCTTTTAGCTCTTTCATGCAGATAAGTGTCAGACTGTCAGGCAGCTGTGCTTAAGGAACATGGCAGTATCTATTAAACAATTTCTCTTAGTTTCCTAAGAAAATTGTCTAGTTAAATATTTCTCATCAAAAATAAAGCTCGATTTACCTTTTCATTCATCTCACCTTTATTAGGTACAAACCTAGTTACTCAGGCAAGTGTATAGAAAGGTTTGATCTATTTCTTTCTTCTTTTTTTTTTTTTTTTTTTTTTTTTTGAGTTAGAAAGCTTCCATGGAAATGTACCAGCCATTTATGCATTTGGAAAATATCACTATCCATTCCTATTCTTAGAGCAAGTTCCAGCCAGCATTTACTGCAAGGACACTATCCTTCACAGAGACCATAAAACCATATATTAGCCAACATTAAGTGGGGTAAGTGTCTCAGAGAGAGGTGGAAGAGGAAAGCAACTTACAATATTTTACATATTCAGATAACTTCTTTGTCCTCAGATCTTCCTGTATCATAGCTTTGGCCCTAGAGTTTTGGGGTTTTGTTTGGGGATTTTTATTTGGCTTAGGGAGGGAGAGGTAGGCTTGTGAGGGTTTTGGTTTGGTTTTGGTTTTCTTTTGGGGATTATATTTTTATTTTTCTTCCTTTTTGGGCCTTTTTTACTAAGAGATTCTTTCTCCTTTTGCATTATCTCACTAGGAAGGAGCCCCTTCCAGTCAACTCCAACCATGCTTGTGTTGTTCCTTTACAGTGGTACTGAGATTTTTTTAAATAGTTCTGTCCATTCTTCTCTTAAGCTTTTAATCCCACAAAAAATCTTTTAGTTGGGATTCCTACAGCTGCATTAACAGTTTCTGCAACTAAAATACAACACTCCTCTAGTACCATCTTGGGTTATCCTCTAGGCTTGTCCTGGATCCCAGGCAGACTCTTTGAAATGGAACAAAATCAAGACCACACACACCTTTCAATCTGTCCTTTTCCCTCCTGTTCTAGTAGAACTAGGGCATCTTCCACTAGTTCAGGAGAACAGGATGGCTTGAGAAGGCTTTCCTCTGAAGTGTAGGGCTCATTTTAGTTTGAAATTCACATGGTTTAAATTTCTTTGTGCAGAAATGAATTGCTAAATTCAGATGACATACCATAGGAAGTCATGAGGTACTGCCCTCCTCCGAGTTTTCTCTGCACTGGCAAACACCACTACAGCCATGTGTCACTGGAGACTGTTTCCTAAATTTTCAAAATCACCCGAGTTGCACTGATGAACTTACAGTCTTTACTTTAGAGCTGTTACAATTTTATCCCTACTTCTGTTGAGCCGGGCTTCATTCAGCTGGTTTCTGAGTACCCCATACTTTTCATCTTACCTTTTTAAGTTCCAGGTTTCCCTTTTCAGGTAAAAACATTTAAATTATTTGTAAGTCTGTGGTAGTGCAGTAGCAGTTGTAAGAATGGCACTTTGCCATTCACTGTGATGCTGGAACTCCCATTAGGCTCATAGTCATACCCTGGTTTACTACTACCACTGCTTTCTGTTGTTACACACTGACTTAGCTCCTGAATTATTTCCATCCTAGGGCTGAAGGAATAATCTCTAGACACGTGTTTTATATGTTTTAAAAAATAAAAAATATTAGACAATACATTTTTTAAAAATATATTAGAAAAACTGACCACATCAAAAAAATTAATTCAACTAACCTTTTGCATCTCTAAAATCAGCAACATGCATCTCTCACAGACATACAAGTCCTGCATGACTCTCTTATTTGTGTTCACCAATACAAAAATCAGTTCAGTGGCATAAAGACCTGCTTGTCAGTGGCTTGCAGCAGTACAGAAAAGCCTGATGCCCTGGGTTTGTTTTTGTTTTGGGGAATTACTACACTGCAACATATGCTAGCTTTTCTTGGAACTGCTTGTTTTTTTCATAGGCTTTTTTTCAAACTGAAATTCAAATTGTGCTCCATTCATTACCATTTCTTACATTATTCCTCTGAATTTTTAACAGTTTTATTCAAATTGGCCTATGAACTTTATCGTCCCCATAAATCCACACTTAAGATCTACCAGTCCACAAATCAACATTCCAGTAAACGTTTAATCAGTTTAAGCCAGAAAAATCTTTTTATGTAAATTTCCAAAAATGTTACTCTTATGGAAGCAGTCAGATAATCTGTGCTTGTCTGTCCATCTAACCCATTTTTCTGCTACTTGCAACAAGATATTTTAAAACCTATTGATCAACATCCTCCCTCTCCAAATGTGTAATAAAATAAGCAGCTGTGCAGGTGTCCCAATGCAGCAGGCTTGCCTGCTAACAGGAGAAAAAAATCTACAAGGCTTACCAGACACATGAGAATCCACTCAAGAATGAGCAAGCAGAAATACCCATATTGCAGGAAACTCTTCAGTCAACTTGCATGATACAAGACTCTGAAGAATTTTATGTCAAAACACAGATGCAAGTTTTGCTGTTCCTGCAGTTTGTGGATTGCACAATGGCTGGGGACGTACAAAGAGACGTTCAGGAGGAAAGTCTCATATTTTCACATTCTTTGCAGAGTCACTAGTTGATGTTTAGTTAGTTGGTGTCAGTAATGTTGGTGTTTAAATAAGTCAAATGGAATAGGCTCCAAAGGCATCTATTTTTCCTTATCAGCTGTGAAAGCAGCTCAGGTGCAGGCATCTGTGTCACAGACATATGTATGTACATTCAGTCCAGTGCATCCACATCCTCTCTGTATGCAGATAGGAGTAGGACCATTTTGGAGGGACAGTTTCATCTGTCACTACTCCTTGCTCAAACCAACTGATGTCAACTGTTTAGGAGCCCTGATTTTGTCACCACTGGGGGCCAAGGACTACTCCAAGTTTCAGCAGTGGGAGTAGATCCAGCACCTGTTACTGTGATTGTGCCAGTGCCCTCCAGAGAATGACCGTGCAACTTCACCAGCGCCAGTGCTGCCACAGGGGAAAATGTGTTCAGTAGAGAAAAATGCCTGGCCACCCCTACCAGGACTATCAGCCCCTCTGTGTGAACCATTTTTGATTTCTTAAGTGTGACTTGAGCTATTTATTTTTATAGGAGGACCTACTGTGTGTTAACAGGTAATCTTCAGAAGCATGTATTTCTGTAATTAGCCCAGCTTGTTCCTAAATTAGGTGTTTTGATCAAGCAGTTCCAAAGGGACTCTGTAGTACCAGATGTGGCTTGGTTGTGAGCATACCCCACCATCCTGGCTGCTGCTGCGACGTGAGTGGGCTGGGCTGGACTGTCACTGTGCTCTAAGCTCTGATCCTTTCCATGTTTGCAGGATTTCACACTCCAGCCTCTGGGGATGCCAAGGAAAGCAGCGTGGAGGAGAAGTGCTCCTGCAGGCCTCAGTAACCATGAGATGGCTGTCTCAAGCAGCAGGCAGTGGCAGGGCAGGGCTGACCCTTTCGGTGTGGTAGCTGCCTCACTGGGGAGCCAACATCCTGAGCAGCAGAAGATGAGTGAGTCCCCTCTCAGCTGGTTCAGAGGGGTGTATCTACCTCCTGCTCTGCACCCATTAAACAAGACATTTGTCAAGGGTGGTGAGTGGCAGGACACAGATAGCACCCAGGAAAAGCGTGGGGCCTTCCTGCAGGACTTCTGTAGGAAATACAATAGCAGAAAGAAGCTGCAAACCCACCTGGTGCACCTGGTGTCAAGAATTTATGTGGAGGACAGGCACAAGGTTCTGTACTGTGAAGTACCAAAAGCTGGCTGCTCCAACTGGAAAAGGGTCCTCATGGTGCTCAGCGGACTTGCTGCTTCAGCAAACAATATCTCCCATGATGATGTGCACTATGGAAAGCATCTAAGGAAATTGGACAGTTATGACCGAAAAGGGATCTACGCACGCTTGAACACATACACCAAGTTTATATTTGTACGTGATCCCATGGAAAGACTGGTATCTGCCTTCAGGGATAAGTTTGAACATCCAAACAGCTATTACCATCCGGTATTTGGGAAGGCAATAATTAAAAAGTATAGACATAATGCAGATGAAGAAGCATTGAAAACAGGATCAGGAGTTAAGTTCAAGGAGTTTATCCATTATTTGCTAGATTCCCACCGACCAGTAGGAATGGACATTCATTGGGAGCAAGTCAGTAAGCTCTGCTATCCCTGCCTCATCAACTATGATTTCATAGGAAAATTTGAAACCCTGGAAGAAGATGCCAATTACTTTCTGCGGCTGGTAGGTGCTCCAGCCGATCTGAAGTTCCCTAAATTCAAAGACAGACATTCATCTGATGAGAGAACAAGTACAGAAGTAGTGAGGCAATATTTAAAGGAATTGTCTAAGGAGGAGAGACAGCTGACCTATGACTTCTATTACTTGGATTACTTAATGTTCAATTATACATCACCACTTGTATAGCACTAGAATGGCTTCAGGCTTCTATTAGATACTTATCATTTTGGGATTCAAAACAACTACTTTGGTATTAGCCCTGAAAGGAAATGAAGTTACTGCTAAGTAGAGTTGTCTTGAATTAGTGGGGATTTTATAAGCTAGAGTGATATCAATTGGTATTAAATTATGGAGAAAGCAAAGAAAAAAAAGACCTGTAAACAGCATAAATTGCACTAAAATGCCTGAAAAAGCTGCTTTTACCATTATGGATTATACTACAGAAGCAGTAGCTCAGACAGCTGTTGCATTAGCTTACCTAATGTTCTTTTAATGGTTTAAGAAAAAAAATTCAGAGTGGCATGATTCTTTTTTTTTTGGTGTGTTTGCTTTAGAAATGGGTTTTGGAAAAAATTTTGAATGTATTTTTACTTTCTGTCACTTATTAATAAAGAATCGTTGGCTAATTTTCTAAAATGTTTACAGTGTTCTCAATTGCAAGGCTTGTTTTTTGATTACTATTAGACTGTAGCCAATTTTAGACCTGATTTTTTTATTGGAGGACGCTCTTGAATACAAATCCATCAAACTAAAAATAACACAGCAGCTCAGTTGATGGGCAGAGTAAATTTGGGTAAGCCTGCAAAGGACCAGTCCACTACTTCATTTTGATTGATGCACTGGAGTTGACAAGTACAACCCTCCTTTCAGAGAACTGCTGCATTCAACAAAATTAAGATTTTAATGCACAGTGGATGCATCGCTACACGTGATGCACTCATACTGTGGCCCAAATATTCGTGGTAGTCCTCATTTTTGGCGAAAAGGACAAAGTTTCAGCATCAGGTCTGTACTGAGAAGAAACTTAAATGCAAGTTCTGTGACCATTTTGGGTCTGCTGGGGTCTGATTATCAGCCCAGCTCCCAGCAATCTGTTACAGAGAAGGTATGTGTGCCCATTGCCTCCTGGACGTATAAACTGGTTCTGCCCCCAGAGCTTCCTGAAGTCACCTGTGTTTTGCTGTCCTGCCTGCCTTGCCAGTAGTCACCAAGCCCGAGGAGTGGGGTGAGTGGTGCAGTTTTATGTGGTGTAATGTGTATTGGTGACTTGTCCTAGAGGAAGATGTGTCCAGAATCCCACAGTCCTGGTTTGAAAAGGAAAAGGTACCTTCTACCTTTCCCTTCCCTGTCCTCCCTGTACCTGACCAGCACATGCAGATGTTCTTGCTAGAGTGACCTCTCTTGCACAATGGGTGGGCCAGGGTGTCCCAGGAGGAGGAGAAATCTCGGCAAAATTATAGGATCATGGAACCATTGAAAAAGGCCTCTAAGATCATCAGTCCAATGATTGACCTAATCCTACCAAGTCCATCGCTAGACCAAGTCCCTAAAATGGATAGGGAAAAATCTCTGTGCCCTTCCACAATGGAGATGTCACCTATGCCTTACTTTCTGAAATGGTTTGGGGCATCTTCCTCCAGTGTCTCAATATAGCAAGTTGTAGGGTGAGGAAACAGCCTGATGGGAAAGTGATGCAAAGTAAAATATCTTTTTCCTCTATCCCAACCATTGGTCACAAGTAATGGTATTATTATTGTCTTTTCCTTCATCTCAGGCAAAGCATGAGATTGATGAGTACAGATTCAGTCCTTCCACAGCAGTAGTTGTGGGTCCTAACTGAAAGGCCATACCATTTCCAGGTACCCTCGCTGCTTGATTCTCCCTCAGTTTTCTGCTCAGAAGAGGAAAAAAGCCACCCCCAGTCTCCATGGTGCCAGATCGTAATCAAGCAGGCTCTGCACATCTCTCCTTGGGGCAGGACAGGCCACTCTAAGGGGAAAAGCTAAAAGCACACTGGGCAGCCCAAGCCAGGGGTTGTGCTGTCAGTGACTATCAGCACTCATAGCTTAAACCATCCTGTTCCCTGGGGCCACGGAGCAGAGAGGAGAAGCAAAAAGCCATCCATCATCATGAGGTGTGGGGAGATGCACTTGCTCAGCACCAGTGAGAAGTTGCAAGGATGCCTTGGACAGGGAAACATACACATTGTTGCTTGTGTGAGCTGTTGCTGTGCATGGGTGGACCACAGGTGTTAACACCCAGAAGCATTCAGGAGGCGATATCTGACAACTGGACCTCCCCCATGCCTGCTTCTCCTCAGGTGAACAAATATCTCCCCTTTGAACACAGGATGGTGTTCAACTCCCACCTTCCCTGTCAGAAATCCCTCCTGGTTTTCCTGTGGGCTCCACCCCGCAGTGCCAGAGCTGTCCACTCTGGATGAGGCAGCATGGGAAGCACAGACATCCCACGACTGACTGCTGAGCCCCTGGCTGCACAGGTGATGGCTCCTAGCATTCCTTGTCATGCTGGACACCAGCACACAGCCACTGTGCTGCCACACCAGCCACGCTGGTTGATGGCTCTTACTGAGTTCCCATTTGTCTTTACCCCACAGGATGTTTTTTTTATTTAACTTTTTCATGCATTTTCATGGCTGTTGCTCTCAAGTTGCGACTGTGCATCAAGACATCAAAGAAGAGCTCCTGAAAGTTCTGATTTTGTACCATGCAACCTTCTAACTCATGTGAAAATTGCCTTGGATTTGACCTTGGTTTGGCCTCTAGATTTTCTGGTCTTGTGAGTATTGGATTCAACCTCAAATCCTGAGTGAATCTCTCTTGCCATACAGGAAGACCATTGAATATAGTAAATTTAAATAAAAAATAAATGTCTACCAACCTCTGGGTGTCTATATATTCGCTTTGTCTTGTCTGTGGATGTATGTTAATTGACAATTTACAGACAAAAAAATGGCACACTAGTGATACTAGTATTTTCAAAAAAACACGTGAGGAAAAAAGTGCAACATGCTAATAAAGAATGGAGGCCAAGTTATAGATGAGTTTGGTATGAATAATTCAGAGAAATAATATTAGTAAATTACAAAGTCTCTGAAGAACTTGAGCTTAACACTGAGTTCATTTTAGTGGCAAACTTTCTGTCTATCTGATCAGAAAATGACAGAGATTTGGGGGGGCAGCTTTAATTGCACTGAAAAAGCTGCACAGTCTCATAAGATTTCATCTACTAGCAGGTCTTAGATAAAGCTATTGTTTGAGTCAAGGAGGGGGTTAAAAGAAATTATTAGCAAATGTTTGGTTTCTGCAAATGATAGGGAAAATGACATTGATTTGCATACATCCATGGACATGGATATCAGGTCCCCAGACTGTCATCTTGTAAATCTGGTATGGTTTGCATTTGTGATTTAACAGGGGAGGACACTAGTTAAGGCCTTTAAAGCATTTGTGTGCACAGAGGCGTAATTGTTTTAGCTGCACTGTTGTTCTATGGCTCTAGTGAAAGTCATTTAACTTCTTTGTACGCTCAACTTCAAATTTCATAGCCCCTAACTGCATTTAAAAATTCATTTTTTGAAAATCTAACCCAGACTTTTGTAAAGAAGAGCCTCTCCATAGTCATGTTCAGTGACCTAAGGGATTCAGATGATCTCAGTAGCAGAATCTAGATTGTACTTTGCCTCATTAACCACATTTTGAAAATCACCAGCCTGCTTTGCCAGGAATTAAGTTACATGATTTAAAATTAACATAAGAGTTTAGCATAATTGAAGTGGGACTGTGATATCTGACTTATGGGATTATAACAGATAAAGGCATAATTTGCAGCATAAAAGATAACCTCTGTTTTTAAAGGTAAAATTTAAAAGGTCAAAGTGTGAGGCTGCATTGTAACTTTGTTTATATTTTGTAAGAATCCTGGGCAAAAACAAAAACTGAAGGTCATCCACCATAACTAGCATAAAATCTCATCTCCACAACTGTGCACAGATGTTTGTTTTACTCAGAAAATTATATATAATGTATGCAGAAGAGGAATGAAAATACACTCCACAGCATTCAGTGTGATTACATCTACACTAGAGATCAGCTGTGGCATGCAGAGCCTCTTTTAAGGGGCTTCATTACAGTAAATGCTTTTTAGTTATGAACATTTCTTCATTTGAAGATCTCTAAGCACTTCTCTAATGCAGGTCAGTTGTCAGAGCAAGTCAAATGTGCTGTAAAGGCATCACAGGGAGCCTGTGGGAGGGCTGGCGTGGCAGGAGAGTGCTCCCTTGGCTCATGTGTCTCTTCCAAACACCAGACAATCATGCATCCCTCCTTGAAATTAAAACTTGATTTTTGGAACCTAATATTCTACATCTGCATTTCTTCTAAAATTAATCAGTATTAATAAAACCAAATTATTTAATAACAAAAATTTTAAATAATAAACAAATAAAAAATAAATAAACTTCATAGAAGTGTATTCCCAAATTCTGATATATACATCAACATAAGGCAGCTTATTTTTTCCAGTTAGGATTTGGCTTGCAAAGCTCAGACATTGCCATTGTGCCCATCTCTTCTAAAACTGCTGCTTGCTGAAAGTCAGAGGTTTGCAGCCACAGTGCAATCAAACGCTGCACATACTCCTGGAAATTTCCTCTGGAGGAACTCCCCCAAAAGGCCAAATTTATTGGAGCTACTCCTGCCTCAGGCAGTGCTATCTTGGTGATGTGTCATTGGAGTCACTGGTTTAATTTTAAATGTAGTTTAAATTTAACTGAAAATTGTGACACTTTGCGTAAGTCTGAGAGGAGAATATTTTTCTAGAGCTTTGTATTGTATATATAGGTTACGTACAAACACCTTTGTTTTATGTGCCTTAAGGCTAACAATACATCAGAAAAGTCTTTTTAACTGTAATGCTAATACCAGTTTATCAACTTTATAGCTCCTGTGATGCCTTTGAAACTAAATTAATTTGGTCTTGGAACATAAAGTCTGAAATCTGATGACAAATCATTATATTTCATTAAAAATATGGATGCACCTTCCTGTATCAACCAATTAATGTACAATTCAAAGGGCAGGGTAGGCACACAGACTACTGGGAGGTGGAACTATCTGATCTAACAGAGGACATTTGTTTATATCCCCAGATACCTGGGATCGCTTTTCCTTTGGAAATGTGTACAAGTGGGTGGATTCAGGAAACAGTCATATTATTTAGCTTAATGAGAATGTCTTAGATTGTCTGGTTATCATAGAAATACCTGTTTTATGGGACAACAGTTGAGCTTTTGGCAATCCAGCTAACTGAAGTGAGTTCCATGTGTCTCTTCAATGTTGGATGTAGCTCTGCTTGTGGCTGGAGTGACAGACTTGAGAGATCTGGATCTTCATCCAGGTTCTGTAACTTTTTTAGACAAACACGAAATGCTCTCTGTGTTCGTGTCCCCACTGGTAGGAAAGTCCCCACTGATAAGTGGAAGGAAATGATATCATGTGTCTTCTCCTAAAATCATTAAA